AAAAACTGTTTCTTTAAAAAGATCAATAAAATCAAGACTCTAGCCAGTCTAACTAAGGAAAAAAGAGAGAAAACATAAATTACTAATATCAAAAAATGAAACTGAGGGCATCATTACAGATCCCAAGATATTAAAAGGATAATAAAGAAATGCTGTAAATAACTCTATGTCCACAAATCTGATAACCTAGATGAAATGGACCAATTCCTTAAAAGACACAATCTCCCAAAAGTGACACAAGAATAAATAATCTGTATCTTTTTATAAAATTAAATTAATATAATAACCTTCCAAAACAGAAAGCACCAAGCACAGATGGGTTCATTGGTGATTTCTACCAACCATTTAAGAAACAAATTATATCAATTCTCTATAAACTCTTCCAGAAGATAGAAGCAAAGGGAATACTTCCTAATTCACTCACGGAAGCCAGTATACCAAAACCAAATAAAGACATTACTAGAAAACTACAGATTGATTTCTCTCATGAATATAGATGCAAAAACCCTCAATAAAATATTACAAATCAAATACAATGTATAAAAAGAATTAGACACCACAAACAAGTGAGGTTTATTTGAGGTATACAAGGCTGATTCAATATTCAAAATCAATTAATGTAATCTGTGACATCAACAGGTTAAAAAAGTAAAGTCACATGATTAGATCAATAGATGCAGGTAAAGCACTTGACAAAATCCAACACCTATTCATGATAAAAATTCTCAGCAAGCCAGGAATAAAGGGAAATTTCCTCAATTTGATAAGGAGAATCTATAAAAATCCTACAGCTAGCATCATACTTAATGGTGAGAAACTCAAAGCTTTTCCACTAAGATTAGGAATAAGTCAAAGATCTTCTCACCTCACCACTCTTTTCAATATTGTACTGAAACCCCTAGCTAATGCAATACGAGAAAAAAAGGAAATAAAAGGTATAGACTGAGAAGAAATAAAACTGCCTTTCTTAGTAGATGACACGATCATCCATGTAGAAAATCCAAAAGAGAATAATAAGAAAAAATACTCCTGGAACAAATAAGTGATAATAGCAAGATTGCAGGGCACAAGGTTAACAAACAAAAGTCAATCACTTCCCTATTTACCAAACTGAGAAAGCAGGATTTGAAATTAAAGACACATTACCATTTACACTAGTGCCCGCCCCCCCCAAAGTGGAATATTTAGGCAAAATTTAACAAAATATGGACAAGATTATACGAGGAAAACTACAACACTCTGATGAACAAAATCAAAGAACTAAACAAATTTGGGTATATTCTATATTTATGGATGGGAAGATTCAGTATTGTCAAAATGTCAGTTCTTTCAAACTTGATCTAAAGATTCAGTGTAATTTCAATGAAAATCCCAACAAGTTATTTTGTGGATATCAACAAACTCAATCTAAAGTGGGGGAGGGTATGTGCTATGGTGAGTGCTATGAATTGTGTAAGTCTGATGATTCATCGACCTGTACATTATATGTTAACTAAAAAAATAAAAAATAAAAAAATAAAGTTCACATGAAGGGACAAAGATCTAGAATAGCCAACACAATACTGAAGGACAAAGTCAGAGGACTTGGCCCTACCTGACTTTAAGACTTACTCTAAAGCTACAATAATCATTGCAATGTAATATTGGGAAAAGAATTTTAAAAACCCAGATCAATGGAACAGAATAGAGAGCTCAAAAACAGATTGAACAATTAGATATCTACATGTCAAAAAACTTAATCTAGATAAGACTTTACACCTTTCACAAAAATTAACTCAAAATCACATATCTAAATGAAAAATGTAAAACTATAAAACTCCTAGCAGGCAACATAAGAGAAAATGTAGATGACCTGAGGTATGCAGATGACTTCAGATATAACATCAAAGGCAAGATCCCCAAAAGAAATAATTAATAAGCTGGATTCCATTAAAATTAAAATTTCCACTCTGCAAAGAACACTATCAAGTGAATGAGAAGATAATCCAGAGTGGAAAAAAGTATTTACAAAATATCTGACAAAGGACTGTGATCTGAAATATACAAAGAACTTTTTTTTTTTTTGCTTCTCTCTCTTCATTTTTTTTTTTTTTTCTCAGATTTAAGTTCTACTTGGCTAACACACAGTGCAATATTGATTTCAGGAGTAGAATTCAGTGATTCTTCACTTACATACAACACCTAGTGCTCATCAGAACAAGTGCCCTCCTTAATCCCATGCCCCACCCACCTCCCTCCATCAACCCTCAGTTTGTTCTCTATCATTAAGAGTCTCTTATGGTGACTGTGGACTCCAAGAAACAAACAGGATTTTAGAGGGGAGGTGGGTGAGGGGATGGGTTGGCCTGGCAATGGGTATTAAGGAGGGCACGTATTGCATGGAGCACTGGGTGTTAATAAGTAAACAATGAACCTTGGAACACTATATCAAAAACTAATGACATACTATATGGTGACTAACATAACACTGAAAAAAAAAAAAGAAATTACAATGTTCAAAAAAAAGTCTCTTATGGTTTGTTTCCCTTCCTCTCTCTTTCTCCCCCCACCATATAGTCATCTGTTTTGTTTCTTAAATTCCACATATGACTGAGATCACATGGTATTTGTCTTTCTCTGACTGACTTATTTCGCTTAGCATAACATACTCTAGTTCCATCCACATCAAAGCAAGTGATAAGATTTCATTCTTTTTGATGGCTGAGTAATATTCCATTGTAGATCTATATACCACATCGGCTTGTTCCATTTATTAGTCAATGGACATTTGGGCTCTTTTCATAGTTTGGCTATTGTTGATAATGCTGCTGTAAGTATACAAAGAATTCTTAAAACTCAACAATAAGAAAATAAGCAACTGAATTAAAAAGCAGGCAATAAACAGATACCTCACCAAAGAAGATTTATAGACGGCAAATAAGCATATGAAAGGATGTTCATTATCATGTCATTAGAGAATGGCAAATGAAAACATCAATGAGGTACCACCGCAGACCTCATGGAATGGCCAAAATCCACAATACTGAAAACACCAAATGTTGGCAACTATGTGGAACATGAACTATCATTCATTTCTGGTGGGAATGAAAAAATGATGCAGCTACTTTGGAAGACAGTTTGGCAGTTTCTCATAAAACTAAACACCATATGAAATGGGTCTATATTTTTTACATATAATTTACTGAACTTGAAGATTTCAACAATGAAAGAGCTACATCAAATATAATAGTGTGCCAATTTCTATAGGGTAGGAAGAATTTAGCCATGAAATTACTAGTCATTATTTCTGGGTTGGAAGAAGACATTTTGGGTTAAAGAAGTCCTCAAAGTAGCTGGGGTAAAATAGGTTGTTTGTCTCTAAGATCTTTGTAAAATATCTGAATAATGGCTAATTACCTCTCAAAATAACTTTGAAACAAAGTAAGAAGCTGAATATGTACTAGAGTTTACCCTGGAAACTAAGCAAGGACTATAGTGTCTATTTTGGAGATAGTAAAGAATAAGAAGTGAGTGAGCCTATTATGGCAAAGGCTGAATTCCTGGAAGTGTCTTCATGCCCTTCCATTCTGGCTTCTTCAGGGATAAGAATCAAGTCTTTAGGCATAGGACTGTCTATAATCAGACTGAATTACATCAAATTCTGCATGCAAAAATCATCAGATTTTCAACAAGAAAATGGGTCTGCTGCAAAACCAATGAGAAATAACCCCTCTCCATATTCTCTAGACAAGCAAGAATATCAAAGGACCCAGACATAAATATGCTAGCATATACAACAACAAAGACATAGTTCCATATTTATTGAGTGTGTCTACTGCTAATGTGGAATGGTTACAATAAACTTTAAAAAATAACTGACTATATTACTTCAAGATATTCATATTAAAAACTAAAAAAATTAGTATTTCAAAGTTTATTTTGGTTATACAAGAAAAATGTATATTCTGTGTAAATAATAAAATTGTATGCATGACAATACAGTGAGTTCAAACTTTACGGATAATAAACTAAGACATATTTTCAGCACAAGGAATAAAATCACATTTATGGTAATAAATGTCTCTTTTCTCAGTTTCAGAGTAAACCAGAGTAATGGGCTTGTCATTCTTTTCCACTATGTTTAAATCTACTAATTTCTTTTAAAATCTAAACTTAGGTAGCTAAGTTAATATTTAAATTTTTCCCAAATAAAATGTTCTCACATCTAAGTTTTAAAAAATATATATTAAATTCCAAAAAGAAAAAAAGTCATGCTTACTTTAAAATTCAGTCAGTGCTAAAATGATAGATCTTCCCATAATCTATTTTAGAACTTAAGATGATCATTTTAGAAATTAAGATGATAATTATTATCACTAAGAACATATTTAAGTTTATTCAAAATCATCATTTTTTCTGTGACAGTTATATTGAGTTAAAAGTGTGTCCTACCTACTATAATTCCTATGATGAATCCATTTAAAAAGCTATGTACAAACCATAATATTTATGATTCAAGAGAACTTTCTCTGAAAATGACTTGAAATCTTATATTTTTTCACCTCATTAAAAAAGTTGAAGATTGTTATCTCTGCCTTGAATTTCTTTAAAAACAAAAACATTTTGAAAAACACTTTGTTCTGAAAGAATGCAGCATATGCAAGTCAAAGTTTCACCCCAGAAATACGTTTTAAGGCCACAGCTTCTAATTTTGAAATATATACTTTGAAATACACAAGAGAACTTATGTAGATAGTTGAAGGGTAAAGAAGATGATAGAAGTGCTAATGAAAACCCTTGCATTTAAATAGAATGTATGTTTAGTCACTGAAAACAGTTTCAAAGGGCAAAATACATACTATTAATCCATATAAAAATTTTTTTCAGGGGACAAAGATACATTATATCCCCATGGAGAGAGAGAGAGATTTTTTTTTTAAAACGTGCAAATATATTTTGGAAAGTGTGCATCTGAATAAATCCTCATGTTGGGGTGGTAAAGAATAAAAAAGCTCATATACCCTGTTTGGATAGGTGGCACATTTCCAGTCTTTGCTCATGGGAATATCCATAGAGGAGGCGGGCTTCTTGTAGTGCACTTTTATACCATTTCTTTTTTTTCTTACATTTTTCTGGCTAAAGAAACACAGAAAAATAGTGAGACTCATTTCTAAACATATTATTTTTTTTAATATCTACTTGATTTAGCTGTTGAGCTGGAACTAATCTGATTGAAGCATTATACCATATATTACTTAGACTTTTATATATGATTATTATTATTTTAGAGTATACCAAGGTTGGGGAAATCTTGTACATTAAAAGTCAAAGGGTCAGATTCTTGATTCACTAAGATAATATTTTAATATGATTCATTTCACACTTTAAAAAGTCACAAAAAGACCACAATGTAACAAAGTAGTCAGTATTAATACATCTTATTAGAATAATTTGATTCTCTTTTAAGAGCAATGATCCTGAAGTGGTATAAAATGAAAAGCCAGGCTTCTTATTGTCAGAAAGTTAATTCTATTCACATCCAGCTTTTGTGTTATGACAGGCAGGTGAAATATTCATACAAGTTCCTTAAACTTTTGCCCCAATTTCTTCATCTGTAAAATGTGGATAACAGTATATTCATCATAAAGTTTCATAAGTATTAAATGAAATAAAAGATGGCAGTTTTCTGGCCTATTAAGCACACAATAAATATTATTCTACTTGAATTCAGTACTTTTTCTACATATAAAGTAATTTAAAAAATATTTTGAAACAGAAACAAGAGTAAAAAAGTCTCTATGCTAAAAATGACTACAAAAATTATCTGGTCCAATAATTTTTCCAATGTTATTTTAGAATATGCCTAAAGAGATTTTTTTTTTAAATTAAGTAATCTCTATGCCCAGCCTGGGGCTTGAACTTACAACCCCAAGATCGAGAGCTGCATGCTCTACTGACTGAGCCAACCAGGCACCCAGAATTTGCCTGAAAAATTTTTTATAATTTATAAATATTACAATTTATAAAATGCTATACCACCATTTTCTTTTTGGAAACTGTACCATCAAAAAGAATACAGGTTTTTATTGCATAATTCCATATTTACCACCTGCATATAATGATCAGATATGTAATTCACTTTATACAGAAATGTAAATCTATGTAACACCTTATTTAGTTCATTCAGAGAATGAAACCATCTACATATTTAAAGCTCTTTTCAAATTCCACCTTATTCCTAGAATTCCCAAATTAATATAAGCCATCTGTTCCATTACACTTAATATTTTCTTTTAATCATTTACTACATTCTGACTTGTATTATAGTTATTTGTATTCATAACTGCCCCCACCCATAAAATGAAAGGTCCTGAAGACAGAGGCAATAAACAGCATTTCATCTTTGTGTCCTCCACAATACCCATTTGTCTAATCTCATTGTGTATAATGTAAGCAATCAGAAAGTGGTTGTTAAATTGCATGTTGTTCTGGACACTGATTTGATATAAAAGCCATCAAACAATATAATCAAACAAAAATCTATTATTTTAAATCTACTTTTGTGCACAGAATATTTACATTTTATTCATTAATAGAAAAAGAGATGAAAATATAGGTAGATACAATTCAAAAAAACATTAGAAACTATAAACTAAGAATATCTAAGCTAGTGTCTGCAAATCTAAGATCTTCCTACAACTCAAATGTTATAATGATGCTAAATAAAAAATTATTGAAAAATAGCCTAGAAGCTGATATGGCACTAAATGACTGACGTTAAGGAAATTTCTTGAGAAAAACCAATACTGTACACAGCTAAAGTAAACTTTGGTGAGTTTGGGGAACTAAACACTTTCTTAAAAATCTGTGTTGGAGATTCTTTGAGAATTTATCAGTAAATATGTGCCATCTAGTGGTGACACAACTAAACATCTTCAAAGAAAAAAAATTAAGACTATTTATAAAGAATTTTGAATTCCAGAATTAGGCTCAGCTATGCATTATATTTTACAACTAAAGAAATGATAGGTGCATATCCTAAAGTGTAGACTGTGCCTCCCTACCCATTTCTGGTAATGTTTCTCCCACAGGTGCCCATTATTACCAATTTCTTTCATAGTCTTTCAGAGATATCGTATGCATCTACAAACATATCATTTATATAAATATAGTCATTTTACAGAGTGTTGTGAATAGTTATATATACTTTTGAGTTTTTCAATTTGTCTTGCAGATCACTTCATTTATTGATTGATTCAACATATTCTAAATCCTTGGGACCTATCATTGAAGAAAATGGATAAAGCTGACATTCTAGGCACTGAAACAGACAACCTATAATAAGCATAACAAATCAATAAAGCTTACAGTATGCTGTAAGAAGTTATAAATTCTATGTAATAAATAAAAGTTAAGGCAATAAAGTAGTCAGGGTAACTCTCATTGGAAAGGTGACACTGAGCAAAGACAGGAAAGAAGTCAGGGAGTTAGCCACATCAATATTCCAAGAAAGAGTACTCCAAGCAGAGGAAAAAAATACTCTAAGGTGGGAGAATACAAGTATATTCAAAAAGCTTTGAGGAAGCCAAGCTGGCTGACACTAAATGAAGAAGGAGAGTGACAGGAAATGAGGTCACAAAATTAACAGGGGTCAGATCATGGAGGTTCTTTCAGGCCACTGTAGGGAATTTGTCTTTCATTCTAAATAAAATGGGAGCTTCATTCCACAGTTCTGAGCTTGAATAACAATTGATTTGATTCAATTTTTTTTTTTTTGAAGCTTTAAAGTTTTGGCTTTTTTTTTTTTTTTTTTTTAAAGATAAAGGTTTGGCTTTTTTTTTTTTTTTTTGAAGATTTTATTTATTTATTTGACAGACAGAGATCACAGATAGGCAGAGAGGCCAGCAGAGAGAGAGGAAGGGAAGCAGGCTCCCTGCTGAGCAGAGAGCCCGATGCGGGGCTCAATCCCAAGACCCTGGGATCAGGACCTGAGTTGAAGGTAGAGGTTTAACCCACTGAGCCACCCAGGTGCCCCTGATTCAATGTTTTAAAACAATCTCTGATTGTTTTGACCAGAATAGACAATACAGGGGCACATAGATATAAGACGACCAGCTACTGCAATAATCCAGGCAAGAAATGAAGGTGGTGTAGACCAGGGTAGTGGCAGCCGCCGTGGTGAAAAGTGGTAGGATTCTGGACATAATTTGAAGGTAGAGAAAAAGGGATTTTTGTCCAGCTGGAAACTGGTTGTAAGGGAAAGAGAAGATGACTCTTAAGGCTTTGGGACTGAGCTAGTAGAAGGATGAAATGCTGTCTACTGAGAAGAAGGCTATCAAGAGTTCAGATATATTGAGTATAAAATATCTATTGCCACATCCAAGTGGAGATCCCAAGAGGAGGGTGGTAAGGGAATTCAGCAAAGAGAACAGAACTGTAGATAAAATTTAGGAATTGTTCACATGCACGTGGTATTTAAAGCCAAGGAACTGGAAGAGATAACCAAAGGAATGAGGAAATAATATCTATGTATATCCACATATATGCTATGTATATATCATTATTTATTTGACAAATGTCCTAATAATGAACATTTTAGGTTATTTCTAATACCATGCAATTTGAAATAATGTTGTAATAAAAAAATTTGTCCATAGGTCACTTTGCCCATGTGAAAGTGTACTGAAGAATAACTTCCTAGATGTTGAATTACTAGGTTTGAAGTATGTCTATTTTAAATTTTGGAAGTTACTGTGAATTCACTCTTGAATGAGGTACTCACAATTTTTAATACCATAAACAGTATGTTTCCTCACATCTTGGAGAACACTTCTGTTACCAAACTTTTAGATCTCTGTCAATATTTTAAGGGAAATATGGTATTTCTTTTTTTTATTATCATTTTCATTTCTTAAATTTCGTAACTATGAGAAATTTTAAATACTTTTGCAGCTTTGAGATATAATTGACATATAACTGTAAATTTAAGAGCACAACATGATTGGATACATGTATATCTTGTAAAATCATTACCACAAATAGGGTTAGCTCTTACCTTCATAAACTCACATAACTTTTGTGAGTGTGTACGTAGTAAGAACATTTAAGATCTACTTTTTTTTGCAAGTCTATAATATAGTATTATTAACTTTAGTCTCCATGCTGTACATTCGATCCTGGAACTTATCCATCAATTTTTCACATTTTTAAAAGTCACTTTATTTTCTACAGAATGATTGTTCAAGTCTTGTGTTCATATTATATTGGTCTTTATCTTAATGGTTTGTAAGAGATTTTTATAAATTAAAAAAGTAATCCTTTGTTACATGTATTGCAAATATCTTCACCCGTTGACAATTTATCTTTTAGATATTTGTATTGTCGTTTTTGTTCATTTAAATCTTTCATCCTTCCAGCAGTAATTTGAGTGCAAGGTATGAGGTATACTTCTACTTTATTTTTTTCCCAAGTAGCTAGCCATTTGTATTCACAGAATTTATTAAATAATAAACTTTAATGATTTGAGTATAACCTTACCCACCCAGCTGTATTTCCAAGAATTCTGGAGTCTGTTTTTGGACCTTATATTGTTCTATTTGTCTGTTGAATCACTTTTAGTACCAAACTACTTAATTACTAGAGTTTTATTTTAATTTTACATTTTATAGGCCTAACTCACTCTTCTATATTTAATTTTCCTGTACATTTTAGTACTCACCTTAAGTTCTTTTTAAAAATTGAGATTGCTTTAAAATTAATTTAGGGAAAATTGATATCTTTCCGTATTTAATTTTCTAAACCAAGATGAGGATTTTATCTTTCCATTTACTTAGGTTTTATTTTCTGTCTCTTAGCAAAGTTTTATTTATACAGCTCTTACATATGCTTCTTAAGCTTATTCCAGTGTATCAGGTATGTTTTGTTGCTATTATAAATGGGGACTTTTAATCCCCTTATATTTTCACACTGGTTACTCTGTACAGTAATTTTATAACTGCCATATAATTGAATTTTCTTATTGCTTATAATGGTTTTTTATTTGAGTTCCATGGGTTTTCCAGGTAAACAATCATCTACTAATAAAGGTAACTTTGCTCTTTTTCTTTCCTGTATGTGTACTTTTGCTTCTTTCTTTA